TGAGGAAGGTAACTTGGCCCCACCCCGTCAGGAGAGCGAGTACGCCTATGTGCTGGCCCCACCATCCAAGCTGACAGTCCTGTACGATCATACATAAGGCACTTATATTAAAGATGAAGCCCAGCCACACGCTTGCTCGCCGAAGATAGAGAAGCCTGAGAGCCAGGATTTGCACGACGGCCGCGAGTATCACCAGAGCCAGGAGGAACCCCGCCACGACCCTCGCGGATATGATCCAAAAATTTATTTCGTAAGTAAGACCTTTCATAAGTTCTGTGCAATTACAGATGTATCTGTCCTGTTGGCAAGTGAAATCTGGGTGTAGGGTAAAGTATGTCGAAAAAGCAATGATCATGGTAATGCGCATCACAGAGTTGATGTAGAACAGCGGTCTCACGTGATACCACTTCAGGTGGAGAAATATTTCGCAAAGAGGATGCTTTAGAAGATCGTAGTGACCATACACTGCCATCTTATCTAATATGTCTACTTCGCATGGGCTGCTGCCACCAGTCACGGTGGTCAAATGGAAAAAGACGCGAAGGTCTTTTTCCTGCGGGTTCCCGCGCACTTCTACGCCGGCGTCAAGCAGCGTCTGGGCGACCGTCGGGTAGAACTGGATCACTCTCTCCAGCGGCGTCTGAAGGGCGTTGTCCTTTACTGTGACATCAGCTCCGCCTGCTAACAGTGCCTCCACCATGCCGGAAGTCGTGGCAAGATGCAAGGGCGTGCAGCCGTCCTTGTCTCTCGCATCATGGGACGCCCCTGCCTTCAGCAACAGCTGGGCAGCTGTGACGTTGCCCACCTCTGCAGCAACGTGAAGGGGCGTGATGCGGCCCTCACAAACACCGTTGACTGAAGAGCCCTTCTCCAGGAGCAGCTGTATGCACTGACCACTTTTGCCGCGATTGTTATTGACTGCGTAAAACAAAGGAGTTCGATCCTGTATGTCCTTAAGGTTAATGTCGGCGCCCGCGTCGAGTAGTTGCTTCATGCAATTGAAGCAGCTCTTCATCGCTGCGAGGTGGAGAGCGCCGATGGTCGCCAGACTTTGAGTGTTGGGCGGGACTCCAGCATCGAGCAACTTTCGCAGCAACGAAGTGCAGTTCCCTTCGGAGTCCACGGCGCTGTGGAGCAAGGAATGTGGGCCGGGGGCGGAGGCAAGATTGGGGTTGTCGTCGAGGATGGAAGAAACTTGGGAGATATTTCCCTTTCTGATAGCAGTCTCCAAAGTCTTCCATTGCCTTTGAACAGCTTTGTTAGGGAAAGACATCTAGGCGCTACCTTTGTTCACAGCACACAAGAGACATCTGTACTCGGAGATAAAATCGCAGGATGTACAGAGTGCGGCATTTCCCAACTGTATAAAAAACACATTTCATGAACTCCGGCATTTTGAATGCTGATTGTTTTTTGTCACTTACCGCTAAATTGGAAACTGTCTAAATTCATGTCTTATTTGTTTTCTATCGCAGCGTACTATAAGTATTTATATGCATAACCTGACTTTTTTCTAACACATTGATTCAATAATTTGTAAGAAAATGGATGTTAGCGTCAAAACAAGACATATTACCATTAACAAGCTAGCTCAGTGTTCGAGGGCCAAGAATCAGCATTTTTTTAACAGAAAATATAAACCTTTAGAACGGTGTAATAGTCGATTATTAGTAATGGAAACAAGCATTTTAACTGGCAGTTTACATATTTTGTTTCTTAAAGCTCATATGCACAGGAAGCCTTAGAGATAATTTATATCGTGTGGAAATGCTTTCAAGATAAAAAGAAAATAATTATAAAAGGCATCCGCTGTTTATGGTAAACACCCAAAACGTTAGCTAAAATTCTTTATAAATCCGCCCTACTCTCTGTGCATGTTGAGGAGTGTTTCGTTCTATTTTCTCTCTTGATGCTTTTAACTGACGACAGGTTAGGGAAAATAGTTTGTTTCTATGATTACACTAACACTTATTTTGAAAGGGTGATTATTTCAACAAATAACTATCTCTGCTTCCAAATGCAGAATAAAACGACAAAAATGGCGACAACAGAAAATTTATGAATTTATTATTTCTCATGTCCATGTGAGTACATTAAGCATATTCCGTAGCTATGTTGAGCTCGATTTATTTAATCATTTAAATATGAACCATTATAAATATTCGTGCCACATTAATAACCAAAGGATAGATGAAAACTAAGCGTAAGTGTTTAGCGCCAGTTAGTGCCAGGCTGGTGGAGAGGGGGAGGGGGTCCATGCGGAGGATCTTTTAAGGGGTATAGTGTGTAGTACTCACACACACACACACACACACACACACACACACACACACACACACACACACACACACACACACACACACACACACACACATATATAGCGATGATTCAGTGGTTAGAGCACTGGACTCCGACCCTCGTGGTCCCGAGATCAAAATCATATATATATATATATATATATATATATATATATATATATATATATATATATGGATATGGATATGGATATTTATATATACATATAAATATGGATATACATACATACATACATATATATATATATATATATATATATATATATATATATATATATATGTATATATATATATATATGTATGTATGTATGCATGTGTGTATGCATATATATCCATATCCATATCTCCATATACATATCCCTATATATGCTTATACATAATGGTATGTATATACTTTATATAATGTATATATGTATATGGATAGGATATGTATATAGATGTGGATATGGATATATATGTATACATGTATGTCTGTATGTATGTGTGCATGTATATGATATATATACATATTTATATATGCATATATATATACCTACATATATACACATTTCTGTAATCATATTTATCTATCAATATTTATTTAGACACAAATACACACTCAAATGTGTATGTTTTAAATAATACATTATTTAGTAATCATGCATTACTTGTCGTGTTGGAAGTCGGAAAGTATTCCGCAACATAACATGAAAAGTCTTCAAACGGGTGATAATAAAACAGAAATACTATAAATGCTAAGAGAAGATGCCACATGGACAATACACTGTTAACTCCGTAATATCGAGTCTTTAGCTGAATCGACCAATATTAGAAAAAAAAAAGATCCACAAAATACTCTTCCCTAGCATAATGACTTGTCTTCCAACCATGCTAGCTACAGAAACAATCCCTGATAACCTCTTCCTAAGGTGGGAATAGTACACCAATATCAACATGCCATGAAGCAGGGAAACGCAACCAACACCCTACAGCGTAACACTAAGCACGACAATCCCCTCAAGAGTACGACAAGAGTCATCGGGTTCGGCCCACGCTGCCCTGAACCCTCGCAGTGCCTTAGATTGCAATCTAAGAGTGTCAATGCCGTCATTGGATGAACTCGTGCAGTTACTACCAAGATTATATGAAGGCAACATTAGTACATTGGCCGATGAGTGGCGATGCTTGCCATGGCATGAATTCAAAAATGATATGAGCAATTGTGAAGCAATGGAGTTTTATAAGAAAATTGCAAAAGAGGTCAATCAAGAACAGAATAAAAAATTCACAGTATTGCCACAGTTTGCTTTACAAGTCTTGTCGCTCCCAACCTCTAATGCTGACGCCGAATTTTGTAGAAAAAGTGGCGGGATTAAGAAATCAATGCCTACGCCTTCTATGTACAATTGTGTATGAGTTTCCATTTTGTTGTTGTTGTTTGTGTTGATTAATCATTTTTTCATATATTAATTGTTTTATATCTTTTTATATTTATAATTTATTTGAAAAATAAATCATTGTTGCGCCATGTTTTGTTTTCATCCTTAATATTATAGTTACCCCTACATATCTCAAAGAAAACCATCATATGACGTCATGTTTCCCCATCCAATCACAGCTCGAGAACGATAGCCAATCACCGCTTCGGTAAACAAGCAATGGGTCACTCGATGCTGCACATGGACCACAGACTTCAAAACTCAGGTCCAGGGAATATAGAAGAAGAAGAAGAAAAAGAAGACTTCAAAGGTCTTAAAAACCCTTTTAAAGAAGAAGAGGGGGAAGGAGAAGGAGAAGGTGGTTGAGGCAAACATGGGTTATGGGCCAGCGACGTTGACGTGCAAAAATCTCCAGGATTACTTGAAATCTCTGCCTAAGGATACTTTAGATGCATTGTATAGAAACCCGGCGACGTGTCTGGCAGTTTTTAGGTAATATTTCTGTTCTAAGTACATACTTATTTTCGTTTATCTCCGAGGAAGAGATTGGATCATTGTACTTCAAATATTGGCAAAGACCAACAAACGTTCATTTCATACAATAATGCAATAAATGCTTTTACACAAGGACTGTACTAAGAGAGAGAGAGAGAGAGAAAACACTGTTATAGAGATTAAAAGACTACACCAAATAACATATGAAATAGTCTGCAATGGAAAACTGTAATGCCCCCCCCCTAAAAAAAAAAAAAAAAAAAAAAAAATTGGCTGTGGAAAATTCCAAGTCTGATCTTTCTTGCCGCACCACAAGCAGCCGAACATGTACATAACCTGTCTTTGCACTAGCTGATGTTCAAGCTACAGTCAATAATTGTCACACTTTTATAAAGGCCCTTTACTGTATTTTGAATATACAGTAAGAACATAATGGGGACCGAGAGGCTGTTTGTAAGTTGCTTTGTTTGTATGTCAAAAGTTGGGTCTCCATTACCTTTTTTCCCATTGTTTTAAAATTTTGTTCAAATCAAAAATACCTGCAAATAAATCCCAATAAGTACGACATACCTTATACAGTACCAGACTCTTGAACTATATTCACGCACGGGAAATTTTAAGTTTGGTGTATCTTTCAAACAATTTTTTGGACTTTGGTACTTAAAAAATTTTGTTTGTATGTATGGAATATTCATAAGTAGAATGTTCTTAAGTAGGGGACTATCTGTATTTCTCGATATTGGTAATTATTTTAATGTACTCCTCATCAACTATTTTTTTTCAATAATAGAGGGGTAAGTTTCTTTCTTGCAATTATTATTCCTACTTTTAAAAATCTTCTCCGTAATATGTGTACATAAATCTCTTGCGATTCTCCATTGTAAATTATTTAAAAGGAAGCATTAGTAATGTTCACAAAGTGACTGCACCCCTTGAAGATTAAGTCCCTACGACTCCAGCCACTCCCAGGAAACTGGTAGAGAAGTGTTGATTGTCTTCACCTCAGAATACACAGCACAAGAGAGCTGAAACTCAGAGTGGACTTTGGTTGTGAGCAGTATTTTCCGTGATTTTTTGTGTGATTTGTGTTGTTCACCTGATATGAAATAGATATTTTACGCCAAGCTTTACCCTCAATGAAATATTTTTAATTAATGTGTTGTTATTAAATTTTTAAATACAAGTCATTGTTCAAAATTACCAGAAAATTACCATCCATATATGCAGAAATATGTAGACAATATATTTGTTACCAAATATTTATTTTTAAAATAAATAACCAAAGCTATAAAATAAATCATTTCTGACTATAACCTAAAGACGATGAATCTCGGAAAGTAACTTTATAGGTACCAAACCCCATGAAATATCATGGGAGTTTTATTCAAGGGCAAAACTTATTTATGAGACATAACTCATATTTTCTAAATATTCTATTTTTGGCAACATTTTCTGAGGTCATTCACTGTAAGTGTAGCTATATTAGCTTTTAGAAACATATAAGGCATGGAAGCTGATTACATTTTCTCTGAAATTTCCTGAGAAACTTTTGGGCTTTGGTCCTCGGGAGAGAGAAATCAGCCATTCTATTACAGTAATGAGTATAGAAAAAATAGAGCCAGGAACAATTGCAATGATCTATCAATAATTTTACTGTATATCATGCAGAACAGTCAAGAGCAAAAGTTGATAATATTGCTGTTAATAATAGCTGCAATAATTTTAAGCCAATGTAGCTTATCTTTATCAAGGATTAGCTTTAACCTTTTGCTTAAAGCTAATCACAAAATAAGACTTGTAAGCTTGGGAATGTTATAAGGAAATGGCACCAAGAATCTTGAGGTCAGATAGGCTTACTCCCATGTTACTTGGATGCTCCATGGGTTTGCTAAATTTTAAATTTTATATCCTTTGTCTAGAACTGTTGCCCCCTATCAGGAGAAATTCAGAGTTTTGTGAAAGTATACACTTACTGAAACCAGGTTTTGATATCCAAGATAAAAAAATTATAGTCTATTGCATCTTAGACAACAAATGCTAATTCTTTCAATGTATTATGTTATTTAGAAGTGTATCAAAGAATACTTTAGCAATTTATGAATGATTATTTTGTGATAAGGCTGGAGATACTGATTCAAAATGAACATGCAGCCTGATTTTCCTGTGTAAGGTGCAGAGAGGGGTATTCTATTCAGTGTTCCAGCTAATATTTCTATGTAAGGAATATGATTATTACTGCAAGTATTCATAAAGTTGGATGTTTCAGGGAGCTGCCAGAATTATCACGGCATTTCATTATGCGCCTCCTGTTTGTGACAAAACCAATCTCCCAGATAGTCCTAGCAGCATGGATCCCTCATCAAGAACCAAGCAAGTAAGTACAAAGTTCTGTTGTTTGGTTGTTTTAATCATTGTCTCATAACTTTTTTTGTGTGAATAAGAGTTTTAGAGATAGATATTGCTACTAATAATTAAGAGGACATTGGAATAGCATGAAGGACAACTAATTATATGAGTTTGGGTGCAATGTGTTAAATGACCAAAATGCAGAATGGATATTCATGATGCTGGTTATATAGCATTTATGCATTCAAGGCAAGTTTTTAGGATAATGTGAATGCAAAGCATAGATGATGATGATGAAATAAGATAAAAATTACCATATGTCTCATGGACCTGCCGTGGAAAATTTCAGGCAGTGGTAATAAAAATGTATAAAGTCTATGTGCAAAAGGGTTCATTAGTAGTGCTCCTCTTACAGAGACCTTGGAGACATAGCAGCAGAGCACAAGCAGAGCACCCAGGTCCTTCTTGACATGTACATCTGGCAGGAGGTGAAGGACCATCATGGCAATGCAGCTATAAAACTCAACAGTACTTTTAGAGAGAACTTGAAGATTGCTACTCTAGGAGGGTGTGTTTGTCCTTTGTCAATATTTAGCCCATTTTTATTACATTTCTGCATTTACAAATATTGCAATATCCTATGTACAAATAGTCTTTAGTGATTTGAAAGCATGTACCTATAAATGAGAATCAGGAATTAGCTTCCTTGTATGATAGATATACATTGATTTAGAAAATATTTTGGTTTGATATATGAGAGTAACTTGTAGACTTCCCTTTTAATCGGTAATTGCAAATAAACCAATAAATTAAAAAAGAAACATTTGAGCATCTCTTCAATTTCTGCATTTTAGGTCTTTTCCTATATATGTTTGCTAGGTATAACCCTATATAACTAAGAAGAAAAGAACAGGAATAGTTAACTAAGCAGTTGACGTCCACCATTCTCCGTCAGCGGGAAACCATGGACCATGTCAGCTGCCTTAGATCCAGATCCACATCAAAGGGACTTGGAGTTTCTGGACAAATATGCCATGGATCGGTGGGAGAGCGTGCTCCAGTTCCTTGTCCAGCCAGGGAGAGGAGCAACAGTAATTTCCAGAGATGCAATGAGAACATTGCTCCATGCTGGTCTCATTGAAAGGTAAGAATACTCTTTGGTGCTCAGTCCAATAATATTAGTGTTGCTAGTCTCCTCACATGAGATTATTTATTTGTTATAATGTGATATGTATACTCCAAGGAAAGTGTTTCATTAAAAAAATTTAAGTATTAGTTTCATAGATTTATTTATATTGTAGACTAACAAAATAATCCTATAATCCTGAAGGTCCAATGGGACTCAAGCCTAATCATTTGGAGTGAATCTGACAACATAAAACCTACTATAAGGATATTCAGATTCCTGTTTCTGATTATGTTAGGAAATGAAATCCTGATTGAAAGTAGTGTAGAATTTGGTGTTTGACAACTTATGCAAGCTAGTTTTGGCTATATTAGATTTCCATTTCACTTATATATATAAAACCAAACATTATTATTGTCATTATTATTTTAACCCAATGCACTGTCCCCTTTAGATTTTAGTGAGTTATGTTACATACAGATGCCTCCATGTGTGCTCAGCCAGCAAGGAGTCTATCAGTTGGCCCTAGTGACCAATCCTGATTTCCCTATTCCTTGAATTGGCATGAAAAGGTGTCTTCATTCCAGTACTATTAATGTTAAAATTGTGATTGATATTATGATTGTTAAATTATTATTAAAATATTAATAGCATCTAAGACAATAAGATAATAGAAATGAAACTTTAAAAAAATGAAGGAAAAGGGTAAACAGATGAGATAGGTGAGACTAATGGCTGACTCCTTGGTGACTAAGCACTTGTAGAGCCATCTATGTGTAAAGACAATAGATACCTTTTACGACAGTGGGCATAGCATTGTAGTCTTGCCATCAGTGCTAATTAGGTTAATGATTATTTTAATTATTATTGTTTTTAGTATGATACATACTAATAAGAAATTAATAGTTAAGATATTAATAATTTGATAATATTCCAATTACTTATTTGTACTTTGATTTAAATTATATGGTCATTATTCATGTATTTCATTACTGCTTTATACTACTGTGTTTACATTAAATGCTTACATACCTTTATGTTTCCTGGCAGTATCTTACTGTCTTGTGTAAGTCTATATCAGTCATTTCAGTAAAGTATATTTTCTTATTTTATTTCTCAATTTATTTTATTCATTTCAAGGTAGACTGTTTTGAGCTTTAATAGTTCAATGTGCTTGTGATACAGAAGGGAGAAATGCTTTCCTGTTGGGTCAGAATTTTCCATCTAGCTACAAGATGGCAGAAAAACAAGTTATAACCTATTTCCATCTTGAAACAAAGGATTGCAAATTTTGCAAGTCATCTACCCATTACCTTAGCCTCCAGTATCCATGACCAGGTACCAAGTAAAACGGATGAGGTTATTAGCATCTTTAACAAGTTGTCTTTTTGGTCACAGCAGCGATGAGTCAGATTCGCCCAACATGCAGATCACCAGCTCTGGCTTCCAGTTCCTCCTCCTGGACACAGCATCACAAGTGTGGTTTTTCATCCTCAAGTACCTGGAGACAGTCACAGAACGGGGACTCAGCCTTGTGGCTTGTTTGACTTTCCTCTTCAAGCTTTCCTTTTCTACACTTGGAAAGGTATAGAAGTATTTTTAAAGCTTGACACAGATTTTGATTATTTATTTGAAGTAGATTTTGAAATTCAAATTTTGTTTGATTTTCTGTCTGACTATGATTATGAGTTTCATGCCAATTGTTAACTTGGATTTGACGTATATTTACATATATTCTAGGTACCTTATGGTGTTCATTTTCAACGGGGATGAATAGTTTTACCATGTATGTAATACATCTATCTTTTTACTTCTTTTTTTATACTTAAAGTTGATTCTATCCTTGTTTTTAAAGGAAGGTTTTAAATATATTTTTCATTGCTCCTGCATCATAAAACAGTAAAGATATATTTAGCCAAATGCCAGGCCTGCTGCCACCTTAAGAGCATGTCTTGAGTTCAAAATTTTTCATGACCACCAAGGTCTTCCCTACCCCTACCTTCCTCACCATTCAAATTCAGAATTTGGATGTTTTTAAAATCCCATATGTTTTGTCTGAAGTTGAGGTGTTTCAAGTAACATACAAGAATTATTCCTGTACAGCAACAGCTTTAGAAGTTTCTGGCTTATCTTCCCCAGAAAGTTATTCTTCTACCTATGTTCCCATAGGCTGAAGTTGGTAAAGGAGGTGGATAAATATTGTATTTATTGCAACCTCTGATGAGTATGATTTGTACGCCGCTTTGGTGTAGTTATGTTAAAAGATGCAAATGTCATACAAGTTCTAGGAATATTTGGACATAATTATGTTAGATGAAATTCCTGATCATTAGATAGAAATTCCTGATTTTTGTCAGATTCTTGAAGTAAATTCATAATTGATTCCAGCCACCAGAATTAAAAGACAGAATATTTGGAATTGAGTAGAAAACATTGTAGTAAAATGTTTATTTCTCTAAGATACAGAAAACTGAAGGTTTACTTAACCCCTTCACGATGGGTGACGCCTATAGGCGTGAAAAGAAACAGCTTGAAATGTTCCATGCAGCTGTACGCTGGTGCAGCTGGTGATTCAGCCTATACTAAACTCCTGCGCTCAAAGTCGGGGTGCTGCCATTTATTGCCAGAGCGTAGTTTTTTTTTTTTTTTTAGTTTTCTTCACCCATCAACATTGGGTTAAGAGAGACATTAAAGAAATTACTAAAGTTTGAATTGAATATGATGATAAATTCAAATCAGATTCCTGCTTGTAGAATTGATTATAAAAATCCTAGAATGTTACTGGTGACTGGTGAGTTTGATGCTTATCTTCCTGGTTGTGAGGAAGTGATAGAGTGGTGGAAAGAGAAAGCATCATTATACTAGTATTAAGAAATATACTAATTTTAAACTAGACTTTCAAAATGATCAAAATGGATATAGAAAGAAACTATAAGAATTTTTAACTGAACCAAAAGCATCCTGTAAGAAAAGACCATGGGAGTTAAAGACCCTGTTAGCTGGCCTGTTTGATAAAGATTTTACAAGTAGATAAATGGCATTATTGGTAATTAAAATGATCCTTTATGAATCTTGTAGCATATAATTCAGAAGCTATGATACTGAGGTATTTCAGCAATAGTATTTTAGGAAAATTCTGAAAAGAAACATGCTTATTCAGAAAGGTATTGTTGCAATGGCAGTTCCACTTTTTGAAATTTTGTTAGAAAGTGCTGTGAGTGCTAGATTAGACCTGAGGAAAGCATCCTAAAGAGGGAACTGAAGATTCAAGAGCTTTACCTATAATGGATCCACTGGCAAAATATCATTGACGTCCATTGGACACAGTATTAGACAAAATTAAAGAAATAAAAGAAGAAATTATTTCTGTCATAAGAGCTTTAGGTCTCTAAAATACTGTGGTTCAAACAAATCATTGAAGCAAGGTAAGCCTTTTGCAGAAAGATCATAGTGGACAAATAGGTAAAATTTCAGCCTGCTAGAGTACTCATCTCAGAGAAACAAACAACCCTTTTGTAGCAAAGGTTCATTTAGAGGAGAAAAGAATCCTTTCTTCTCCCAATCAAATAAAAAATGAATAGTTGGTTCAGGGTCGCCTCCTAGATTGACAAAACTGTTGGCCCCCAGGCTGATCTCGCAGGGTTTTGATCAGAGGGCTAACTTGGCCATGGATAAACAAAATACTACCACATGTAAGAAATAAATTCCCAGTAGAGAGGATAAAGATGTCTATCATAGAAAGAGTAAACCAAAGAGTTCAGAAAAGTGTAATAGAAATATCAAGAGATAAGGTTTTCTGTTGGTATTAAATCTCAGCAAATTGAACAAGTTCATAGTAAATTATCATTTCCAAATTACAGTTGCAGCACGTTTGTGTTTGACTCTGTATTGGGGCATTTATGGCTTTGGCTGATATGAAGGATACGTATTGGCATATTCTAGTAAATCCAAGAAAGTTCCTAGCATTCCGAGGAACAGAGATCAGATTGTCTTGTTTCCCTGATGTTTAAGACATCTAAACAGGTGGTGGTTATAAGACGATTGTCTACATTTAGTAATACCTTTGGTTCTTCCAAATCCATCTCTAACATTCATGACAGATGCCTCAGATTGGGGTTGGGGATTTCAGACTCAAAAGGAAATAGGGATGAACAAACCAGTAGTGAAAGAAAGATGTAAACATTCAAGAGTAAAAATGGCTCTAGAAAATATTCCTAGAGTAATAAATAAAACAATTCACATGCAGAGAACAACTCAGTGGAAGCTCGAGATCTTCTTTCAGTATCAGAGTCTCTCTTAGAGTTGGCTCATCAGAAAGACTGTGATCTTGAGCCATCTCATCTCATAGGAGAAGAAAACTCGTGGGCAGATGCACTGTCCCACACCAAACCATTAGCAGCAAACTGATCACTGTCAAACTAGGTATTTCATGACAATGTGGGTCAAAACAATCGCCCAGAAATAGATCTATTTGCATGACACTGCAATAACAAGACCCAGTTGTTTATCACAATTTTCCAACACACAACAGCATGTGGACCAGATACATTTACAATATTTTGGAACAGATAGGAGTACATTTACCTCTTTCCTCCACCTGTAACGAAGACAATGTTTTATGTAGTATACTACTTGAGGATCTTCCAAGGTCAGGTAATGCTAATAGCTCCCTTATGAAGAGCCCAACCTTGGACCACAGCACTCCTTAACCCATTGCCGCCGGGGAAAATGAACAAAAAATGGGGAAAATGCTGTGCCTATTTTCTATACTTTTTTGTTAAATGTCTGCCCTTAGATGGCTCTGTTAGTGCCTGATTTGAAACACGTATTTTTCACTAGTGCCATGAATATCGATGGTGTTATTTTTATCATAAACATTGTAATTTTTACAATGTTTTTTAACATTAGTAACAGCAAAATAAGATACCGTAAAATATTTCGTAAATCAAAGAAAAGGATGAACGGGCGAGACAGGCGGTACTCGTAAGTGGCTCATTGGTAATTTAGTACAGGTGTAGCCATCTATGTGTGAAAACAATCTAACAAGTAATCTCACAGTGGCCATGGCATGGCATGCCCGGCGAGAATGGGTTAACTGGTGTCCACTCCCAATTCCATTGGGGAACAAGGTACTCCAGAATGTGAATTCCTCTCAATTCATGATTTGCATGAATCTTCACATGTGGAATTTCTCCATAAGGCTTTCAGTTTGAGTATACAGGATAATGACTCTGTAATAGCAGTCCTTTCAACTCATCACTGCCGGGTAACAGAAATCCCTTAGTGTGATAAACTTCTAGTGATTTCTGGCAATGGCCAGACACTGGGCGTGGGAGTCCGCCACATCAAATGGAATGTCCCACTCTACACGCTCTGGTGGATCGCCACGCGTACAAGCATATCCCGCAGACCAAATGGTTTGTTAGGACACTGGTTCACGTGACCCTTCTGGAATCAAGTTAAGAGGTTTTTCCACTTCCGCAATTTAGACTGTGTGAGTCAGGAAATTATATAAGAGACATTGAAAGGATAACATCAAATACATAATTACAATTTGGATCTTGGCTTTTCCATTGTAAGAATACATCAGCTGTTACAATTTATATAGACTGAAAAAAGAGTACAGGTAGTCCAAGAAACTTTGGACAAAATGAAGAAAGGCTTCTTTAGATAATGTCCTTGTAATAGACAATTTAACCTATCATGGCAACTTAGAGATGTTTTGGCTTTTCTTGAACAGTCTAGATATATTTCAAATCCTTCTGCTAAAGATATTTTTACTAATGTGATATTTTTATTAGCCTTAGTATTAGAAGTGAGAGTGTCCAAGCTAGCAGCTTTAACTATATCTCTAGTCTTGACAAATTTTGATCCATTAGATGAATCAGTTTTTTTTTTTAACTCCCTGTCCTCCGTTTATAACCAAAAATAAGAGAGACATTCTCGTAGATCAGGACTGGTTAGAGTTCCAGCATGGATAGTGGATGGTAGTCACCAGAAGCAGTAAAAAGGTCTTTAATGGTTGGGACCTGTCTAAAATTATATGATACGTAATTAAAGAAGCAGTTGTTAACCCATTGCCGCCAGGGAAATTGAACAAAAAATGGGGGAAATTCTGTACTCATTTTTTATATTTTTGTGAAATATCTCTGTACATAGATGGCTCTACTAGTCCTGATTTCACCTTTCCTTAAATTGGCAGGAAAAAACATATTCTTACTAGTGCTATAAATATAGATTGTGTTATTTTTAACTGCAAACTAGGATAACGTTAAATATATTCGTAAATCGATGAAAAGGGTGAACGGGCGAGACAGGCAGTACTCGTAATTGGCTCATTGGTGACTTAGTACAAGTGTAGCCATCTATGTGTAAAAACATTCAAACAAGTCGACTCACAGTAGGCATGGCATGGCATGCCCGGCGGGAATGGGTTAACTGGTGTCCACTCCCAATTCCATTGGGGAACAAGGTACTCCAGAATGTGAATTCCTCTCAATTCATGATTTGCATGAATCTTCACATGTGGAATTTCTCCATAAGGCTTTCAGTTTGAGTATACAGGATAATGACTCTGTAATAGCAGTCCTTTCAACTCATCACTGCCGGGTAACAGAAATCCCTTAGTGTGATAAACTCTAGTGATTTCTGGCAATGGCCAGACACTGGGCGTGGGAGTCCGCCACATCAAATGGAATGTCCCACTCTACACGCTCTGGTGGATCGCCACGCGTACAAGCATATCCCGCAGACCAAATGGTTTGTTAGGACACTGGTTCACGTGACCCTTCTGGAATCAAGTTAAGAGGTTTTTCCACTTCCGCAATTTAGACTGTGTGAGTCAGGAAATTATATAAGAGACATTGAAAGGATAACATCAAATACATAATTACAATTTGGATCTTGGCTTTTCCATTGTAAGAATACATCAGCTGTTACAATTTATATAGACTGAAAAAAGAGTACAGGTAGTCCAAGAAACTTTGGACAAAAAATGGGGGAAATTCTGTACTCATTTTTTATATTTTTGTGAAATATCTCTGTACATAGATGGTTCTACTAGTCCTGATTTCACCTTTCCTTAAATTGGCAGGAAAAAAAAAAAAAAAAAAAAAAAAAAAAAAAAAAAAAAAAAAAAAAAAAAAAAAAAAAAAAAAAAAAAAAAAAAAAAAAAAAAAAAAAAAAAAAAAAAAAAAAAAAAAAAAAAAAAAAAAAAAAAAAAAAAAAAAAAAAAAAAAAAAAAAAAAAAAAAAAAAAAAAAAAAAAAAAAAAAAAAAAAAAAAAAAAAAAAAAAAAAAAAAAAAAAAAAAAAAAAAAAAAAAAAAAAAAAAAAAAAAAAAAAAAAAAAAAAAAAAAAAAAAAAAAAAAAAAAAAAAAAAAAAAAAAAAAAAAAAAAAAAAAAAAAAAAAAAAAAAAAAAAAAAAAAAAAAAAAAAAAAAAAAAAAAAAAAAAAAAAAAAAAAAAAAAAAAAAAAAAAAAAAAAAAAAAAAAAAAAAAAAAAAAAAAAAAAAAAAAAAAAAAAAAAAAAAAAAAAAAAAAAAAAAAAAAAAAAAAAAAAAAAAAAAAAAAAAAAAAAAAAAAAAAAAAAAAAAAAAAAAAAAAAAAAAAAAAAAAAAAAAAAAAAAAAAAAAAAAAAAAAAAAAAAAAAAAAAAAAAAAAAAAAAAAAAAAAAAAAAAAAAAAAAAAAAAAAAAAAAAAAAAAAAAAAAAAAAAAAAAAAAAAAAAAAAAAAAAAAAAAAAAAAAAAAAAAAAAAAAAAAAAAAAAAAAAAAAAAAAAAAAAAAAAAAAAAAAAAAAAAAAAAAAAAAAAAAAAAAAAAAAAAAAAAAAAAAAAAAAAAAAAAAAAAAAAAAAAAAAAAAAAAAAAAAAAAAAAAAAAAAAAAAAAAAAAAAAAAAAAAAAAAAAAAAAAAAAAAAAAAAAAAAAAAAAAAAAAAAAAAAAAAAAAAAAAAAAAAAAAAAAAAAAAAAAAAAAAAAAAAAAAAAAAAAAAAAAAAAAAAAAAAAAAAAAAAAAAAAAAAAAAAAAAAAAAAAAAAAAAAAAAAAAAAAAAAAAAAAAAAAAAAAAAAAAAAAAAAAAAAAAAAAAAAAAAAAAAAAAAAAAAAAAAAAAAAAAAAAAAAAAAAAAAAAAAAAAAAAAAAAAAAAAAAAAAAAAAAAAAAAAAAAAAAAAAAAAAAAAAAAAAAAAAAAAAAAAAAAAAAAAAAAAAAAAAAAAAAAAAAAAAAAAAAAAAAAAAAAAAAAAAAAAAAAAAAAAAAAAAAAAAAAAAAAAAAAAAAAAAAAAAAAAAAAAAAAAAAAAAAAAAAAAAAAAAAAAAAAAAAAAAAAAAAAAAAAAAAAAAAAAAAAAAAAAAAAAAAAAAAAAAAAAAAAAAAAAAAAAAAAAAAAAAAAAAAAAAAAAAAAAAAAAAAAAAAAAAAAAAAAAAAAAAAAAAAAAAAAAAAAAAAAAAAAAAAAAAAAAAAAAAAAAAAAAAAAAAAAAAAAAAAAAAAAAAAAAAAAAAAAAAAAAAAAAAAAAAAAAAAAAAAAAAAAAAAAAAAAAAAAAAAAAAAAAAAAAAAAAAAAAAAAAAAAAAAAAAAAAAAAAAAAAAAAAAAAAAAAAAAAAAAAAAAAAAAATGGACTTGTATACTTACGAAAAAGAAGTTCTGGCAGATTTTACCCTACAAGATTAGCTCTTAATATTACAGCAGGTCAGAATAAGGTAAGATGTGGATGATTATCTAAGCTAAATGTGTTCCTTTTTGTGTTAGTTTAGTCATTTAAGGGATCCATATATTTTTTATTGAATCTTAAAAAAGTTGAGCTACAGCTTTGAAACATTCTTTTTTCCTATCTGGTGGAGATACCTTTCTCTTTTTTTTTTTCCTTCTTCTTCTTTCTTTGAAGTTGCCCAGAAGTTTATATGCTTAATTAAAAGTGGTGCCAAAAGGACTTGAAATAGTTATTATAGTTAGAAATATCCAGCATCTGTTTTTGAATAGAGCAGACGTATAATAACTTAACCTAGAAACTTTAGGGGGAACCTGGGAAGTTTAGAAGAGCTGTTTACATCTGTAAATATAGATATCTTGCATTCATGTGAAAAGCATTCTGTTTCTCAAATTGTTCTTCAGTTTTATTCAAGCTACTGTCAGCATTAGAAACACATTACAGATTTACTGAAATATGGCCCAGTTTAATGCAGAAGTATTTAAGCTAAAAAGTAACCTGTATTTGCTGTATATCAATTCAGTAAAATTCCATAGCCATTTTTCAAAGATATCACCAAAAAGAAAAATTTATAGGGTTAACTTTTTGAGATTAAACCCTCCATACACCAAAACTGAGCTTTTAACCCATTGGATCTAGGTTTATCTAGGTTTTACTTTGATTACAATTGTTATTGATATTAGTGCTCTTGTCTTTATTATTTTCATTGTTATTTTAACAATATAAACAGGCTTTACTCTTTGGTGGCTGTATTTATTGATAAAACAAAAATTTAGTTCATGTATGCCATCAGTGGTTTAAGATGCAACATGCATTTAAAAGGTACATAACAATTAGTTTGTTTAATAAGTTCTTGATGTTGATGGTATAACAAGAATACATACCATGTTTACTTCTCATTTTTGCTTATTGGTTTTCTTTACTCATATATGGCTCCACAAGTGCTTAATTACCTAGGAGGCAATTACTAGCCCTACCTAGCTCGACTTTTTGCCCCTTTCCTTAATTTTTGGAAAGGTTTTTTATTTATTTTTTATTTTTTTTGTCTTTAGTATTGTTCTCAACACTATGATGAACATAATGCCAACAACAGAAACAACAGCTTAGATATTAGTAGCATTAGAAGATCAGTATGTATGGAAGTCATTTGAGGACATGTAGCTTGCTAATTGGCTCCTTGGTGGCTGAGCATTTGTGGAGCCATCTATGTTCAAGCAAAAATTGCAAAAGAAACGACAGTAGACAGTGTGATTACCCAGCACCATAGGGTTACTGAAGAAATGGCTTAATTGGGTAATTATTCTGTCAAAGATATATTTTAATAAATTTTTCCCTTATCTCCACAGGGCAATCTTGATGTTCCGAAACAGGGTGATCTTGTCATTGAAACAAATTACAGAATATATGCCTATACTACTTCAGAACTACAAATTGCACTTCTCTCCATATTTTCCGACATAGAGGGAAGGTAAATATTACTTTGATTTTATATTGGAAAGGAAGAAAAAAAATGTGATATGATCATTAAAATAGGTTAAATGCAACATCATGGAATAGGTTGCTTTTCCTCATTATAGTGTAAGCAAAGTTATAAAGCAAATCATAAGATTATCATACCAGTTTCACACTAGTTAGGAACTACTCGTAGCTAGGTACTACTACAAGCTGGAAGTTGTAACATGTCTGTTTTGCAGGTTTCCTAACATGGTCGTAGCTTGCATATCGAGAGGAAGTGTGAGAAGAGCTCTGTTGAAGGGTATCGGTGCTGAACAAATTATTAGTTTCCTCAGACAGCACTGTCATCCTCAGATGTATAAACAGAATCCAGTTGTTCCACGCACAGTTTCAGATCAGGCAAGTGTTGTGTGTGTGTGAGTGAGTACGTGTGCATGTGTGCGCATGCTCTTATCTTTGTACTTTATTTACTTTGTTTTCATCTATTACATTAATTGATTCTACAGATAATAGCAGCTTTTTGCAGGTAGGTGATTTTTTATGCATTTGTTTGATTATTGTGATATGTAAATACATAGTTTAGCCTTGAATAATGTATTTTAATTTTCTCTATAAACAATACTTGTGGAAGCATCTATTGCTATTATGTTGTTTATTCTAGAAGTAACAGTAGAAAGGAATATGAATAGATGAATGTACTATATAACCATCTACTGCCTGTTATATTTTTATCTCCCTTTGTGTGTTATTTATGCATTGATTACTGTTTTGATAGTTGGCCAAGAAGAGGAAAATATCTGTATCTGTTTATTAGTTTATCCTTGTTCAGTAATCAAGCATCTGTGTAACTTACATAAGTGAATTATATTTAATTTAGATGTAATTGTTTGTTGCATTTATTTTGAAGAAAACTGAAGATATTCTCCCTCCAAGACCAACAAGCAGTAGGAGCTCTAACACTTTCCTACCAAAAGGTTCACCCACTCTATATACTTTTAAGAAATTGAATTGTCACCCAGTAATATGTGGTATTATTGTCTGGTATTATTTTTTTCCTTTCTTTTCCATAACATTTATGCATTGATAATCATATAGGCTTAATTAGATTTGCAGCTGACAGACCTCAAAGTAGAGATTACAGGAAATGTAATCATATGTGTTATGCAAATGTTTTGTGACTGAACTAAGTGATGTATTTGACTGGTTTCATTATATCTTTGTCAGAAATACATGTATTTCCAACAAAGATATAATCGAAACCAGTTAAATACATATCATGTATTGTAAAAATATTCATTCTCATTCATACCTTTTATACATTATTATACATATTTTCCTTTTGAGTATTCATCTTTTCATGAGTTTAGACTTTTTTCACATTGTTTGACCATGAGTTTTATACTCTTGTACATTGATTCACTAAAGTGTTAACCCAATGCCGCCGGGTATGACGTGTACATACGTGCTATGCCCACTGTGAGTACTTGTTTGATTGTTTTTACGCATAGATGGCAACACTTGTACTAAATCACCAATGAGCCAACTACGAGTACTGCCCGTCTCACCTGTTTACCCTTTTCTTTGATTTACGAAATATTTTATATCTTATTTTGCTGTTACTAATGTTAAAAACATTATAATAATTATAATGTTATGATAGAAATAACATCATCAATTTTCATAGCAATAGTGAAAAATACGTTTTTCCCGCCATTTCAAATCAGGCACTAGCAGAGCCATCTATGGGCAGACATTTCACAAAAAACATAGAAAATAGGCACAGCATTTTCCCCATTTTTTGTTCATTTTCCCCGGTAGCATTGGGTTAAAAGATAATATCCAAACTTAATACTTACAAGGTGGCCACAAATTTATTTGGCCACCTGTACCATCAAAATCTGAATGGCAGACAGCTTATAAGGAATGTGTTGTAAAATGTTTGACTATTTAGTTTGTCATTTTAGGTAAATTCCTTTGATAAATTACAACAAAGGACATACACATCATAATGGAGCTGCTGTGGTTTTATAAGCACAGATTTGATGCAGCATTGGTTATTCTGTGAACTGTATTCATTATAACAAAAGGTATGAATGAGAATGAATATCTTCATTCTCATTAATACCGTTTCTGGTTATCCTGTCTTTAGAACTTTATATAGACATTAGATAAAAAGGAAGTGAAAGGATGAACTGCAGTCTATGATATGGAGGAAAGGCTAATTGGCTTTTATTCTTTTGCAGATTAAACTGTGGGAGATGGAGAGAGAGAGACTTGAATTTAGTGAAGGAGTATTGTACAAAGACTTCATGTCAGTTCATGATTATCTTTTGCTCTCAAATTACGCATCCAGCAAAGGTGTTTTGATATACTCGGATGAAAAACAGAGAACAGTGGTTGTGACAAAGAAAGGACATCCAGCAATAAAACAGTTTTGGAAAGAAAATCAGTCAAAATAAGTGGAGAGAGATTATTATGGCAATGTTGATATCTGTAGGAAACTATTTTATTCTTTTCTTTTCTTTACTTATGTTTTGCAATGCCGTTTCTCCATCTTGTTGTGAGGTTAAACTAATATATGGAATATTTTCTTAACTTTTATAATGATTCCTTTTTCTTGGAGAAGGTCATTGTTTGATTGTTAATATAATTAGTAATTAACAAGTGCTTCTTTAAGAATATGAAGGACCTCTGCTTCACTGTAGGAATATGGAGAATGTGTATTGATAAAAATAAAGCAAGAATGCTTACAGATAAAAACAAAATATTAATATTTGGTTACACTGCAACTTCAAATAAAAGTATGTATTATAAATATTGTTTATCTTTCCCTATGCTTTACTTTCATTACAGGATAATGCTTTAAATATTTCTATGTGAATAGTGATTGGACATTGTACAGAGAGAGAGTTTTTAGATGAAAAGTATATTTTTGTCTGCCTTTAACATATTGCTCATGTGTTTTGATGTCAAAGTGGAATATGTTAATTTTTGACTGTGAGGGCACTCAAATTAATTAAATTGTTAAAAGTTTCCTTTTCAGTCTCCATGAAACCAGTTCCCTCTTTTAAAGTAAATTCTATAACTGAGGTCATACACATAAATAATTTATAAAATGAGACATGCAGATGTTGGATAACGTGACAGCAAAGAGGATTCAACTGCCCAACATCAGATCAGAACTCAGGCACTTTATCCCACAGTGATCTTTGTATTCTAACAAGAACAAGCACCTTATCATGGCATTCAATAACAAATTAATTGACTGCTGATGGTATGACAGTATAGGCAAAAAAGGATATTTTATGCATAATCAGTATCACCCATGTTAGTAATAGGTATTGCAATATACTGAGTTAGCAGATGAAAGAATGCATTAGGAATTATTATCAACATCGTCATCATCATCATCATTGTGTTATATGTGACTTTTGTCATTAGAACAGACCTTATATATATATATATATACATATATATATACACACACACACACACACGCATGCACACACACACGCACGCACGCACACACACACATACACACACACACACACACACACACACACACACACACACACACACACACATATACGGTCCAGTGGTTAGAGCACTGGACTCCATCCCTCATGGTCCCGGGTTCAATTCCCTGTCGCAGCAGTTGTAAAAATGCCTGCCCTCTGACTGCTGACCTGAACCTGAGAAAACGACATATCGCCTTGAGAAGTCAAATGCAGGTGTCGTAAGGAAAGTCACAAGTGTTAGCGGTTGATTAGGAAGGGCATCCTATCAGGCAAGGGTGGCACTGGCCAAAATCCTTTCAACAGTGAATTGAGAGAGGCCTATGTCCTGCAGTGAAATAAATGGCTGTTGAAAAAAAAGTTATTATTATTACTATTATTATCAAGAAAAGGGAATGATATCTATCATATCTGAAGTTATGATCTCTCTCTCTCTCTCTCTCTCTCTCTCTCTCTCTCTCTCTCTCTCTCTCTCTCTTTCTCCCTCTCTCTCTCTCTCTTCCTCTCTTTCCCCCCTCTCTTTCTCCTCTCTCTCTCTCTCCTCTCCCCCTATCTCTCTCTTTCCCCCCTTTCTCTCTCTCCCCCTCTTTCTCTCTCCCCCCTCACCCCCCCTTTCACCCCCCCCCTCTCTCTCTCCCCCCCTCTCTCTCTCTCTCCCCCCTCTCTCTCTCTCTCTCTCTCTCTCTCTCTCTCTCTCTCTCTCTCTCTCTCTCTTTCTCTCTCTCTCTTTCCCCCCCTCTCTCTCTCCCTTCAAAAATAAGAATATACATACATACATGATAAATACAATAATTCTAATGTAAGTTCTGTTGACAACAACAAACATAATAACAGTAGCAACAGTAAAGAACGATAATAATAGTGTAAAGTGATTACGATATTTTTCGAAACAGGCTTACCACACGGGCAATACATGATAAATCAAGTCATTAGAAATGAGGTAATGATCTTAGTCCTCCTAGTCAAAGACCGACAGCACCTTGAGAACTATTTCCAGGACCTCCAATGCCTCCGCAAGGATCACTGCATTATCGGCAAAGTCAAGGTCTGTGCCCTTGAAATTACCAACTGGGAAAAAGGCAGAGATGCCCCCCCCCCCCCCGACACACACACACACGACAGCACTCTCGGTATCTGAATACAGGCAAGGCAGCAAACCATTAATCTCAAGGGGGATCTCACGGAGACCCAGTAGGCTCCAGAGACTCTCCCGGTGCACTGAGTCGAAAGCTTTCTTGAGATCAACATAAGCTGCAAGCATACCTTGTTGAAACTCCAGCAGGCGTTCCACAAAGACACAAAGTGCTAAGACACGGTATACAGTTGATTTCTTGGGTGTAAAACCAGACTGTTCAGGTCTCTGTGTTCGTAAAAGGTGGTCCCGCACTCGCGCCAAGAGCAGATGAGCGAGGACTTTGCTTGGTATGCTGAGCAATGTAATACCTTTGTAGTTGCCACAGTCGCCTTGGTTCCCTTTCCCTTTCCAGATAGTGATGACCAAGTCCCTTTTCCAGTCAGTAGGAATGGTACCAATCTCCCAAACGGCAGAAAAATAATGACTTAAAAATACCAATAATTTTACCTCTTTATATTTCTTCGCACTTTTAACGTAAGAGAAAGAGGCGAATGGACGGAAGTAAAGATGAAAGGATAGACGGAAGGGGTGTTAAGTAGATATAGAAATACAAACACAGATCCATACATAAAAAGGAACCTGCGTACACTGGCCACAGCCGGGGACTGAACCCGTGCTAACCGCTACACCACAGGGACTGATTCATCAAAATATATTAATATTTAGATTTTTGCCATTTAAGTAGAAAGCTTAAATTGTTGGTAGTAAAATATGGATGTCTGCACATAACCATTATCTACAAATTATTGTGTTTACGATTTTATCTTTTATGAAGATATTTTATCATAGTATATCTCAATTAAAATGTGTTGAAATCAATAGAATAGGTAAATAGATAAGTCTAATACGATGTGCATTGTAGGCCCAAAGTAACAATGCAACGGTCAAAGTAACACAGTCGGTACCTGTCGATAATGAAAATGGAATTTTTAAGTGTCAGTCTTCTATTTCTGTTATTTCCCTCTTTTTCAACGTGTTATTTGTATCTAGAATAGTATTAATCTATCTTATTTATCGCAAAAAACTTTTGTAATAGCTTAAAGAGCAAAACAAAACCAAAAACAAAATCCAGTAGCTTCATTACAATGCTTCACATTTGAACACAAGAAATATAGAAAATTAGGAAAGAGAAATAGAAGTAGGGATGAATACATGAGCCACTAGATAAACATAGAGATGAAAACAAATTCCTGCTTAAAAATATTCTCCTTCTCCTGGCCTCCGTCGGGGATCGAACCCGAGTCTGTCACTTTACAGGCGACCGCGCTTACTACTGCACCGCGGCCACTTAAATTATGGATTGAGTTTGATTATATATAAGTTTCAGATTTTTTTTCAGGCATATGTACGAGTGACACGTATTATTTAGCTAATGAGGCATGTATGCTTGTGTGGATGTGAATTTCCCTGCAATATTCTCTGCGATCAGTGATCCTGATTTTATTCGTTTCAAGTGACTTCTTACAGGGAGCATTTTTGATGAATGTGACATTATGGTGAGAGTAGGAAGCGAGAATAAGAAGAAAACACTTAATATAAAAGGTGTATCTCAAGTACAATAAGATGAAACTGTAAGAAACCAGAAAATAGTACAGGAGAGGAAAAAAATGATATGGCATTTCGCATAGGCCTATATAGTATCACTAACCTACATTGTGATTTGTTTTCCTTCGTTATGTTATGATTATTTTTCGAAACGTTTTCACTCATTTTGTAACATACACCATAACATACTCGTTAGCAATTCACGGTGAAGTTATTAATAGACAATAATAACGGCGACGATAAACGACTCGGTAAACGTGACAGTTTCCGTAAAATCACTGGTTTTAAAATGACAATTAGGGAATCGCGATCTACTCTCTTGTGCGTATTCTGCAGAACAAAAATAAAGTTAGAACTTTCGGGAATCTTTTAACTCGATTTTTTAGGAAAGAATATCTCTGTCTGTCTGTCCCTGTCTGCCTGTCCCTGTCTGTCTGTCTCTGTCTATCCGTCCCTGTCTGTCTGTCTCTGTCTATCCGCCCCTGTCTGTCTCTGTCTATCCGTCCCTGTCTGTCTGTCTCTATCTATCCGTCCCTGTCTGTCTGTCTCTGTCTATCCGTCCCTGTCTGTCTGTCCCTGTCTGTCCGTCCCTGTCTGTCTGTTTCTGTCTGTCTCTCACTGTCACTCACTCAATCACTCTCTCTCGCTCCTGCCAAACAAGGTATTATTATCATCATAATAAACTAATCAATGAAAATGAAATCTTTCTAAACAGCTTGGCAATATAAGAAATCACGGGAAACAAGCACGAAATGCGTGATACATGAATACATGACTTCATCTTGTATATAGGTCAACGCACAATGGCATGCGCTCGTACGCACGCACACAGACACACGCGACAAATGAAAAAAAAAAAAAAAACTTCAAAATACCAATACTTTCACTTCTTCGTAATTCTTTGTACTTTTGAAACAGGAGAACGAGGCAGGTAGGCGGAATTAAAGATAAAATGATAGACTGAAGGCTTAATAAGTACACAGAGGGCTGCAAACACAAATTCCCGCAAAGAAAAATCCTCCACACACACACGTCGGGGATTATTAAAGCTCTCCAGTTAAGAATACATATCTGTCTATCTGTCTGTCTGTGTCGTGATCTACAAGATTAACCTTCGACCCTTCGTACGAAATGTCTAGCTGTCACCACCTGGTTAATTCGTCCAGGAACGTAAGTTTAGTGTTCGGAAAGTGAGAGGCATGTAGAAGAGTGTAAGTAAAGTTAAAAGAAAGCAAGTGTAAGTGTATAGAAAGTACCAAGGTTCGAGGGTCAACACTGGTTAGCGTGGTTGTGCCGAGATGGAGTGCGTGTCGACCTAAAGACTTATGGTATTGAAGTTAATCATCAAGTGACTAAGAATTAGTCTTTCAAACGCGAGAGGAGACAATGTAATCTTAAAAACCAGGAAATCAAGTTACAAAGGTTTATTAAAACTATAAAACATTTGAAACGAAATCACAAAAAGTTGAAAATGGAGAATCATCCTCCAATATCCCAAAACAAGCGGGAGTAAAAAAAAAAAAAAAAAAAACACTGGACATTAAAAAAGGTAAAAAACACTGAACACAACATAAAAATGGAATGCAAGTAAAAGGAAATGGACTCCTAAAAATGTAAAAA